TGAATGGTTTTGTTAAGCTGCGCGTTTTATTCAGGTTTGTCAACAAGTACGAGGTTCATGTTTAGTGAGTCAACTGCTGAATTAATGAAAATGGATTGTTACAGACATTTGAAATATGATGATAACCCAATTTTATATCCTTATGATCTTACGGTTATAGAACATGCTGCTGAGCTACAAGCCGGAGCAAACGCGACAGGTGCTAGACCAGCCACGGAGTTGCAATATGTTATTATCCTTGCATTATTTCCTTTTAGGTATAGATACATTTGAACAGAGAACAAGAGATAAAAGACATAACGATGATGGCATGCTCAATGTACAACAACGAAAAAAACGCGGCTGTACTGCTAAAACACCAGCAGCTGAATTTTGCTAGCACTACGTTTTTCGTTTGTTACGATTTTTGCTTATATATGCTGAAACAGTCAGATATTCATAGTTATTGAATTTTATCTTTATGTAATTTTCAAGTGTTTTGCATGTCAAGTATTTTCGATTAGTTTATTCACGGAATACATATCTTTCCATACCTCCAAAAACATCCCTGAAGGTGTCAAATTCAAAATATAATAGAGAATTCGCAAACGCATCATATACACCAATACGCATTGTAATGAATTCCCAGCGCATGCGAATTCATTTTTTACAAAATAAAATTCTCGGCGAATGTGTATTTTGCAAGCTATGCACATTAAATACGAAAACTTGCTTGATTATGTAGATTATATACAAAACGTATTTTACTACGAAACTCAGAAGTTCAGGAAGCAAGCAAAACTATTAATAGTCCAGAAATGATTCACAAAACCTTTAAAGTATCGTAGCCAGTCGATTATTTTTAGAGAAACGCTTGAAAAATATATTAATTAATTAAATTTTATCGGAAGACATTGATAGGTAGTGGTATGGTATATTAATCTACTATGTGGAAAGACAGCAAACTTAGTTTCCTCAGAAGATCCTAACTACGAATGAGTAGTTCTCGAACTCGTTCGTAGGTTCAGAATCATGTTAAATCATTAAAATGATTATCATCAAATTCTAGTTCTTTCCTTCTAATATAGTAGAATTTGCTACAGATATATCCTAGTGTAAAACAAGGTCTTTGAAAATGGAAGAAATTGTCGATTGATTAACTGCTGTGGATTCAGTACTGAAACGAACAGATGATTGTGCTAATATTGAAAATACATCGCCGATTGACAATAAACTTTTAGAAGAAATTGTTCGTATTCTAAGTACTGCTGTAAACGCTCCGAATAAATTTTTATACCACATGCAGGCTTAGGACCGATCGAATTGGCTTATAACTAGAAAATATAACAGAAAAAAGCATATTTACATCGAACAGAAAGCAAAAAACATCGGTCGCTTACTGGTCAAATTTTCTGAAAAATGAGCTGTCTTGTAATAATTTGAGTTTTTATTTTAAAAACTCGAAACATCATCTACAACCACCGTACAAAAAAAAGAAACTTAAACAGGTTTTCTGATTAAATCGTGTAGATAGCGTCCATTCATTGTCGGTATCCACGCGAGTGTTTTCCATTTACTTTCCCGGTACATAATTTCATAGATCGAACTCAGAAGATTAGAATAAACTTGTTCACGTTTTTCACTTGTCTTTCTCCGAATCAAACACGTCATTCAGAATTGTCCATATAAATTTGAAATTTGCTTCTTTTGAATCTGAGAGTGATGATAAATTATTTAAAATCCCAAGTAGGGATGTTACTTTAGTTTTATTGTTCATTTATAATAATAGATAAATGTAAGTGAATCATTTTTGCCAATTGCTATCTTTATTTTAACTCAGTTTCTTCAAGTGTTTCTCCATACCGATATATTCTTGAACGTTGTTAGATATTTCGAACAACTAGGGACTAATAGAGAGAATACCGAAAAGATAACGGCTTTAATTTAGTTAAAAAACTTTTAAAAGAGAACGCTCAACTGTTTGTTTTATATATCATTAACAACACGCGCATCACCTGTTTCAGATCCTGTGAGAACATATGTTGCAGTTGGTCTTTTTATAACTCGAATAAGATGCGTAATAACGGTAGTCCTTAAATAACAACTGTAAAACCAAGTTTACCGTTTTGTTTTGCATATGCGATTGGTATATAGTTCGCGGTAAAAGTAGCTTGGCTAATTTATTGATATTAGACCGAAACGGGAATAATTCTCTTATATTTTTCACGAAGATAAGTCGATTTATTCTTTTTTTTAATTGTACAAGTATATAAAACTGAAATTGCTCTGTGACAGTAACTATATAAGATACCGGTTTCTTCACAAAAGGAAGATGTTACAAATCGTAAAACATTTCGTATGAGATCACATCAATCAACGAAAGTAACAGCAGCAGTACCAAAGCAATCTGATCTGCATATAGACAAAAGCTTAATTAGTGATGATATTACTGACTTACTACAAAATGATGCACAAATAAAACCACAAATACAATCAATCATTAAAATCAAACTCCATTGATGGTATTACAAATATAGTTTATGATGCTGTAATAAAGAGAATAAATAAACGTTTAATATCAATTGAACAACGTATTGATCAGTTGGAATATCAAAATTATTATATCGAATAGTCAGTAAATAAACGCGAACGACATTCCAGACAATTTAATTTAAGATTTATTGGGTTTGAAGAATAAGAACGTGGTGAAATAACAAATAGAATTGTTGAATGTGCGCAAAAAGCTGGTATTAACTTACAAACGGAAGATATCGAATTATCACATCCATTAGGTGCCAGAAAGGAAGGTGTATCACGTCCAGTTATTGCCAGATTTCTCTCGAGAGTTAAACTTCGATCATTCTAATTCAGCGTAAAAAAGTAAAAGACTTAACTGGTGTTACCATTTATGAGGATTTAACTAAAGCGGATAAACAGTTATTAGATGAACTACGTAGTCGATTAGATGGCAATGACAAAAAATATGCTTTCAAAGAAAAGGTCATCGTGTTGCTCCTTGCATTTGGCTTGGGCTTTTTCTTTAATCTTCTTCATCTTTCCTTCTCTTATACTTAACAGTCATACATGTCTGTGCATATGAAAGCATATTGCGGCAGTGAAGAAGTCACTTTCTTTATTTTGTTGTTTGTTGCCTAGTCATCTATATACATTACTGTGTAAGAGCATTAAATGTGATTGTGCATAAAAAGTTCTTTTCTTTTTATCTATATTTCTTCTTGACTGTTGTCTTGTGTGGTGATGCTGCAGAATGTGTATACTTTAAAATCTTTAAAGAATATGGTTAAACAATCAGGCAGAGTCAGAGAAGTAGAGAAAACTTTTTATTAATTAATGCTAGAAGTTTAATAGCTGACCTTGATGCCGATGATAATAAAAGCGTGTTGTTTAACGTCTTAAATGTTAAAAAATTTGAGTTATTTTCTAAATTGATAGAGCAACATAGCCCAGCTGTAGTGGGAGTGGTTGAGACGTGGCTTGATATAACTGGTAAAGATTCTGATCTGCTGGTAAGCGGTTATCAACCTCCATTAAGGAAAGACCGACTGGGGATGAGGGGCGGACGACTATTAATCTATATACGTAATAACATACCCGTTAAGCATCTTAGAGAGCTAGAGAATACTAAAATTGAATTGTTGTTTTGTTCAGTGAAAGTTTCCAAATTAAAAACGATTGTTTTTTCACTGTGCTGTCGGCCTGATTGGGTTAACACTGAAGATATGACAGACCAGTTAGAGAGTAGCGTGTTGGACATACATACAAAATCTCAGTATAAACACACAGACATAGTAATTATGGGGACTTCAATGGTCACTGCCAGCAATGGTGTAATACCAGGCCATCAACGGCAGAGGGGAAGTATCTCTATGAATTCACTGCTGATGTTCAGCTATATCAGCTAGCTAGTTGATAAGCCAGCTAGGCCGAAATCCCTGACATATCTAGATCTTATTTTTGCTGATCATGTTCACAGTATAGATAAAATAGAAGTTTTGTCACCTCTTTCTATGAAATGCGATCATAATATTTTTCAAATTAAGTTTTGTTTTTCAAAGAGCCCTATCGCTGAATTTTCGCGATGTATTTATGATTATCGAGCTACGGATTGGGATATTTTTAGATCTGAACTTTCTACTGTTAACTGGTTTTCTCTTATTGCTGGCATGTGTCTGGATGACAGTGTGCTGATTGTTGAGAAAATGATTATGCAGGTGGCTAATACAGTCATCCCATATAAAAATATAACTGTTAAATCAAACGATACACCATGGTTTAATGATAAATTGAGGAAGCTAAGTGGGGAAAAACGTTATATCTTCAAAGTTGATTGCCGTCATAGAACACCGACGACAAGAAAAAATTACAAAGACGTTTCTAAACAGTCTGAAAATGAATGTAAAAAAGCAAGAAAGATCTTTTTGGGCGAATGTCAAATGAAATGAACGCATCTCGTAAACCATGGTGGCGTATGGTTAAAAACACGTTAAATAAACAAAACAGTACTACTCCAGCTCTTTTAGATAAAATAAATGATAAATTAGTATCTGAGGAAGCCTTGAAAGGCAGAATTACTAAATAAACATTTTGTTAACATTTGTACAATGCCAGCAAGTGAACTGAATGATGACCCTATCCTTATTCCAAAATCTTCTCTACACACTATGTCAACATTTGACATTTATGAGTCCGAAGTCTTTGAATTATTAAAGAGAATTGATTGTAGTAAGGCAACTGCACCTGGTCTTTCTGGTGGAATATTGGAAGAAGCTGGTGCAATAGTATCACCAATTATCACTTATTTGCTTAATGATTCGCTAATAAGTGAACAGTTTCTGCAGTCTTGGAAACTTGGATATGTTACTGCGATATTTAAATCAGGTGACTGTCATAGTCCAAGTAATTACAGACCAATTACTTTACTTCCGATTTTATCAAAAATTTTAGAACGTATTGTACATCGAAAAGTGCAAGCGTACCTCGAGAATTATGGACTCCTGAATAAAAATCAGTCTGGGTTTCAGAAGAATGATTCTACCATTAATCAGTTAGTATCCATAATACATGAGATGCTGATAGTCTTTGATCAAAACGAGTCTGTGTTGACTGCGTTTCTTGATTTCAGCAAGGCTTTTGATAGTGTATGGCACAAGGGCTTGCTATTAAAACTGAAAGCTAAGGGAATACCTCAACCACTCATTAATTGGTTTGCGAGTTACCTTGCTAAGTGGGAGATTGTTACTACACACAGTGGGCATCCAGGCGGACATTAGGTGAAAAATCGAAAGTAAAGATTTTAATATTTCGGTTGTTGACAAGTATACTTCCATAATGGGGCCATCTAATCGTGTATGAATGGTTACTAAAATCTGAAGCGATGTG